TAAGATGGTGAAGGTATACTACTGATCCTGCCAAGTGAAAGCAGGTGGCTTATTTTTCTCATATTATTGAGATAAAAAGAAAAAAGCAGTCACCCACTAGATGTGTCATGTTTGCCTTGAGGAAATGCATATTGTGCAACTGAGTTGTGAGCTAAATCCATCATTTTTTTCATGAGTTGCCTTTTTTTTTTCTTGAAAGAACAACTGGCAGACAAGTTTTAGCTTTTCAGACAAATATTTTTCTTTCGATCTTGTTTCCTCTATTGTTTGAATTGGTTAATTTCTGTTGCTCTATCTTCAAATTCACTGATTTTTCTTCTGTAATCTACATTCCATGATTGAATCCATCAAGTACATTTTTTCATTTCAATTGTATTTTTCAGTTGTAAATTTTCTATTTCTTTCATAACTTACCTTGTATTTTGATATTGATCCTCTATCTTTTCATTCATTTCAAGAATGCTTGTCTCTACTATTTGGAGGATAATTATAATAGCTGTGTTAGAGCTTTAATTATTCCAACATCTTTGTCACTTTGGGGTTAGTATTTATTGTCTTTTCCCTTGTAAGGTGTTGAAATTTTCTTATTTCCTCATATGATGAGTGATTTGGAGTTGCATTCTGGACATGTTTGACATTGTGACTCTGGGTCTTATTTATAGCCAATGAAAAATTATGATGTGTATGTGTGAGAACAAACAATTGACCTAATAGGTTCTGATCACAAGCTTCTACCCATCTTATATAAGCCATGGTTTCACTGTCACCTAAGTTTTCAAAAACTTTGCAGTGTTTTTCAAATCTGCCCTGCATACAGGCTTCTAGTGACATATTTGGAACTTAAACATGACCTACCCCACAGAGTCCATATCAGATCCATGCATGTACAGCTTGAGGATATCCCAGAAGTTCATATACAACTTTATAGGATTATTTTCTTGAGCCTCTTCCTCTCCATGGTGTCTCTTCCACTTTCTACCACCCAAAAGCTCCCCTACTTGGATCCCTAGCAAAAAACTAATACTTTATTCCTTGTTTGGCAGTGCTCATCTCATAATTAATTCCAGGCTAGCATATCCAACAGACTCCTTGATATCTCCACAGTGTATCTCAAAATCATGAAAAAAAATTCAATATGTGTAAAATACAAATCATGATTTACACTTCATCCCAAACTGGGTCCTCTTTGAGGATTCCCAGTGCCAGTTAATGACACCATCAGCTTTGTCTACAACAAACCAGAAACCTAGGAGTCATCTTTAATACCCTCACCTCTCTCACTATCTATATCCAGTCCTGTAGACCTTGCCTCTTCAACCGTTAATATTAATTTTTAAAAAGCTTTCAAATCTATCTACTACCATTTTTCCCACTGCCACCATGCTAGTCCAGACTTCCAACTCACCTGGACCACTACGGATCTCTCTCATTGGCTCACCATGTGTCAAATCCCACCTTCCATAATCAACTCCTACCTTCATAATCAATTCTTTCAATCAAGGAAAGCCAGTGAACTTTTCTATCAAAACACGTGTTAAAAATCTGCTCAAGCTGTTTCACAAGCTATTCCATGTGCTTACTGTCTTAGATTTATGTGGCTTGGTCTTGTCCTACCCCAACAGGCTCATCACCTGCCTCTCTTCCTTCTTTTTCTCATGCCTCTAGCACATTGGCCTTCTTTTGGTTCCACATGCCAAAAGAAGTTCTTCTGCCCCTTTTCCAGGGAGATTCCATCCCTCCCCACATCATCTTCTCTTCCTCTGTATTTCAGTCCAGTGATTACTTTCTAGTTCAGTGGTGCCTTATCAAAAGAGAGGGGGATTTGTGTAACCCAAGTCAGTCCATGGGTTTCTGTACATGTTGTACAGAAACTTATCCATGAATAACACATCTCCTTTCTCATATATCCATTGAAATAATTTTTTAAATTTCTTTCCACAGTTTTTACTGGTACACCATGGTTGTACAAAATGGTGGGATTTGTTACATGCACACAATATGACAATTTAGTCAATATCACTCCCCAGCATCTCTCCCCTCCCTCCCCTCTTTCCTCCCCTAGGCCCTTTCCTTCACTGATCTCCCTTTGATTTTCTTGAGAACCCTGTACCTCTCTTTTCCTTTTTCTCTCTAGCTCACACATATGAGAGAAAACATGGGACCACCTTCTGAGTTTGACTTGCTTCACTTAATAGTCTCTAGCTCCATTCATTTTCCTGCAAATGACATAATTTCATTTTTATTTATGGATGATTTATGTATCTATACCACATTTTTTAAATCCATTCATCTGTTGATGAGCACCTAGGCTGGTTCTATAATTTGGCCATTGTGAGTTGTGCTACTATAAATGTGGGTACACATGTATCACTATAGTATAATGATTTTAATTCTTTAGAATGAATACCAAGCCATGGTGTAGCTGGGTTGTATGGTGCCTCCATGCCTAGTCTTTTAAGGAACCTCTATATTGATTTCCATAGTGGTTGTACAAATTTATAATCCCACAAACAGTATAAAATGTTCCTTTTTCTTCACATCCTCTCCAATATTTATTATTGTTTGTATTCTTGATAACTGCCATTCTGACTGGCATGAGGTGAAATCTCAGTGTAGTTTCAACTTGCATTTCATGTTGAACATTTTTCATATATTTGATGGCTGGCTGTAATCTTTTGAGAAGTGTCTGTTGAATTCATTTGTCCATTTATTAATTGGGTTATTTGTTTTTGTTTTTCAGTGTTTGGGTTTTTTTTTTAGTTCTTTATATATGCTAGATATAAATCCTCTATCAGAAGAGTAGCTAACAAAGATTTTCTCCCATTCTGTAGGTTCTCTCCACATTCCTAATTGTTTTTTAATATTTACTTTTTAGTAAATATTAGGTGGACACAATATCTTTATTTTATTTTTATGTGGTGCTGAGGATCGAACCCAGTGTCTCACACATGATAGGCGAGTGCCACAACTCAGCCCTAGTTGTTTTCTTTGCTGTGCAGAAGCTTTTTAATTTGATGCCATCTCATTTATTAACTCTTGGCATTATTTCCTGAGCTTTAGGGGCCCTATTGAGAAGATCATTGCCTGTATCTAAATGCTGGAGTGCTGATCTACATTTTCTTCCAGGAGTTGCACAGTTTCTGGTCTAATTCCTAAGTCTTTGATCCATTTTGAGTTGACTTTTGTGCAGGGTGAGAAATAGGGTCTAGTTTCATTCTTCTACATATGGATAACCAGTTTTCCCAGCATCATTTGTTTAAAAGACTGTCTTTTCTCCAATGTATGTTTTTAGCACCTTTATCAAGGATCAGATGCCTATAGAAGTGTGTTTGTCTCTGTGCCTTCTATTCTGTGCTGCTGGTCTGTGTGTCTTTGTTTATTCCATGAAGTTTTGGGCACTATACCTCTACAGGTATTTCGATGACTCCATGTTGCTTTTTTGGCTTAGAATTGCTTTGGTTATTTTGGTATTCTGGGTTTTGATTTTTTTTTTTTTTTTTTTTTTTCAAAATATTTATTTTAGTTTTCGGCGGACACAACATCTTTGTTTGTATGTGGTGCTGAGGATCGAACCCGGGCCGCACGCATGCCAGGCGAGCACGCTACCGCTTGAGCCACATCCCCAGCCCGGGTTTTGATTCTTCCAAAGGAATTTTAGGACTGTTATTCCTAGTTCTGTGAAGAATATCATTAGGGTTTTGTTTTGTTTTGTTTTGTTTGAGGTGCTGGGGATTGAACCCAGGGCCTTGTGCATGTGAGGCAAGCACTTGACCAATTGAGCTATATCCCCAGCCCATGTCATTGGTATTTTGATGGAGCACTGAAATAAGTTCTAAAGTTAGATAGTGTAGATAGCTCTATAAGGTATAGCTGTTTATACTGATGAGAATAAAAGAGTACTAAAAGCCTATCATGTCATAATTATTATTTTTTAGGTTAGGAATCAAGTTTTAAGGAACATGTGGCCCAACCATTCATGAGATACTTGAATCATGTGTACAAACAGACCAAGTATTTATTCTGTTCTGAACACTCTTCCAGAGCTCATCAGATCCAACCAGTTTTAAGTACTTGTATTATATTTTCATTCTGAGTTCATTTCTCCATCTTGATCATTTTGTACCAAATATAGTGCCAAAGGCCTACAACAATAATTTCTAGTGGGTTTCCCTTGTTTAACAATGTGTCATTTCTTTTGGGAAAGTAAAGGTGATTTAGTCTTTAAGGATTCCATGCCAAGAACTAATGATGATAATTTCATTTTTTAAGTCTAAGCAGACACCCTCACCACCACTATCACCTAACTACCACTAGCAATCATTTTCAACACAGAAATTGTCAAATACCTAATTGAATATCCATCAATAGCTTAATACATGTTTATTTTTATTCATCAGATGTTCATTGAGCACTTCACCTTTCACAAAAGGCATACATTGAATGTCTTTCTGTGCCCAACATTGTGCTAAGTCTTAGGTATACTGTGGCAAGTGAAATTGAGATGATTCTTGCCTCAATGAGACCTACTGAGTAGTGAGCGAAATACCACCAAAAAAGTAAACCCAAAATTTGTTACTGAATTACAAATTGTGATAAATTGTCTTAGTAAAAGAAGCAAGAGAGGGGACAATGCAGTCATGGAACCAAGAGAATTGAGGTGTGCCTGAAGCAAAAGATATAAATGGTGAGTTATCAACCTATGAAAGTTCTTGCATGTGATCATAAGGACTTTAAGTACCAGGGCAATAAAAAACTGCTAAGGGATTTAGGCAGAGAAATGACATGATCAGATTTTTCTAAAGCATAAAACTGATCATATAATCATGCAGGAATCAACTCATTGTCAGAGATAGTCATGCTTTCTCTGCTGAATATATCCCCCTCTCTTACTAATACCTGAAAAGGATCCCTTAGGTGAGCCCCTGTACAAGTGACAACTGTAATTAGTATTGGTTGAGATGGAACCTAATCCAAATGAAGTAATGCAGAGTTTACCAATAATTAGCTTTATGATTAATATAATATATAAATGCTTTTATATTTACATACATTTATTTGTTATTCACAGAAACTTTATGAAACATAGTTGTAACTACTATCTTAGCTAAGAGCTGCTGGGGAAATATCTGCCCAGGTTCCCACCTGGGTCCTCTTCTGACATCAGAGTCATTTCCAATCTATTTTTTTGTTTGTTTGTTTGTTTGTTTGTTTTTTGTGCTGTTCTGGTTCATATACCAATCTGAAACACTTGGTTCATGTCAGTTTTCTCAGTTCTTTATAGCAAAACAGACAGATGATGGCAGAGGTGTCCAGCCCCTAAATCCCCACATTCACTCTCCAGGTAAAGATTTCAGCTGTCTCTACAGCTCTGGCTATCCCCATTTATATCTGGCACCACACATAATAAATTTCAAAGTGAATTCTACTCTAACATAAAATTCAACTCCAATCTAATAAAACCCTAGTACAAAATTCAACTTCATGATACTGAAATTGCTAGGGAATGATTGTGGCAGTTGGATCGGGAAGATCAGGGTATCTAAAGAGAAAATAGTTACTTTAAGGATAAATGCTTCCTTGTCAGCTCTCTTATTATTCCAAAACTATCATTCAGGGCTTATTTCTATCCCCTACTATCAAACATTTGTTGAGAACAACATCTGGCATTAAATTTGTCCCCTTACTCCATCTCCAGAATTTTGCTGTGATTATTTCAACTCTCTTTCCATGTGGGCTATGCCTCTGTGAACACACAACAGAAGTTCTAGAGCTAAGGGAATGGACACAGGGTTAAACAATCCCAAACTCAACATCCAATACTAAAACTTTTTAAGCCTTTCATATTTTGAAATTTATCAAGTTGTACGTTTCTCCATTCAAAAACTTCCTCCCTTCTCTGCTCTACAGTGGGTGGCAGGCAACTGAGAAAGCACAGTGGAGGTAGAAAGAACGAAGGGAAGAGTAAAACAAGAAAGGATAAAGAGAGAAGCGAGAACAAATTCTATTTATTTATTTATTTATTTATTTTTGGAATGAGAGCTTTTTGCCAGAAACAAAGTAGGTCATCTCATAACCATTATCAGAATTTCTTCGGGCTCTATTATAACTGCAAAGTATTGGGGAACCATCCTAGAGCTACTAAATCAGAATATCTGGCACTAGGGCCCCAAATCTGCATTTTAAACAAGCAATATTTTTATACAAATGAAAGATTTAAAACAGTTAATTTAAATATTATCTTGGTGATATTTTATATTTATAAAGCAAATATATCTCACTTCCCTGGTTTATTTTTCGCATAATTTTCACAGTAGTTCTTGCTTCTCATTAAAGTGATTATTTTAAGCTAACAAATGTATTAATTTACCAAACGACTGCTATAAATACAAAAGGTACAAAATTCCAGGAATCCTTGTACTGTGAAGTCAATTATTCTATGAAGAAAAAATACAAACATGAATGAAAAAGACCTGATTCATATATGAGAGGAATAGTGTTGTAGAAACACATACAGTTTGCACAAATATGCTTAGAAAAAGACGAACAGCAGCCAGGAGTGGAGGCACACACCTGTAATCCCAGCAGCTCAGGAGACTGAAGCAAGAGGATCACGAGTTCAAAGCCAGCCTCAGCAACTTAATGAGGCGCTAAGCAACTCAGTGAGACCCTGTCTCTAAATAAAATACAAAAAAAGGGCCAGGGATATGGCTTAGTGGTTGAGTGCTCCTGGGTTCAATCCCCAGAACCAAAAAAAATCAAGAAAAAGGTGAACAGAAGGCATCAATGACTGCCTTGCTCAGGAAGATAGGGAGTTTTAATCAGGAGTTTTGAATAACAAAGGTAGTTAGGGAGCTACTACCATGTAGATCTGATCAAGAAGTCAGAAGGATATTGTCCTCTCAGTTCTGCAGCTGTGTGATGCTAAGCCTTTTAATTTTTCTTTGATGTTTTTCTCACTTCCATAATCAACACCAATCTTTATTGTTCATTCTTTTGAAAGGATTCAAGCAACAAAAATATACAAGTTTCTTCAGCACTAACATTCACTGGCTCCACATTTATCCAAGTTTCTTTCCAGAGCAAACATTTGATAGCTCAAACTTCACAGCCATGAAATACCAGATAGGAAATATTCATAAATGCAAATTGGAACCTCCTCTAGTCCGTTAGCAATTCCTTTGTGTACATATACTCCGCAGGAAATCATAAAGCTAAGGTTCAAGGCAGAGCTCTAAGTGATTGTATGTGTCTAGAATTTCTCCAGTGAATTCTGCCAGGGGCATATCCTTGGTAAAACAAAGGCATCCAATCAGAAAAGTTCATGTTTGATGCGATAATATCTTGCCCAGCAATTTTTTCATAGCATCTTTTACTTCCTTATTTCTTAAGCTATAAATTATGGGGTTTAACATAGGAGTAAGCACTCCATAAAGCAATGAGATGATTTTGTCTATTTCTTGTGAGTTTGATGAAGAAGGTCTTAGGTACATGGATAGGGCAGCCCCATAATATAAGATCACCACAGTCAAATGTGCACCACAAGTAGAAAACGTTTTGTGTCTCCCCTCTGCTGAGCTGATTCTCAGAATAGTAGAGAGGATGAAAACATACGAGATGCAAATTAAGAGCATTGGAATGGGCAGGAGGAGAATGCTGACCACCAGCATGATCATGTCCATGAGCAGTGAATTTGTGCAAGCTAACTTGAGTACTGCCAGGATTTCACAAGTGAAGTGGTCAATGAGATTCCCACAGAGGGGTGTCTGCAGGGCAAAAGTGGTTTCCAGCAGGGCAGTCAGACAGCCCGTTACCCAGGAAATGGTGGCCAACTGCACACAGACCTGCCTGTTCATGATGATGGGGTATCTCAGCGGGTTGCAAATGGCCACATAACGGTCATACGCCATCACAGCCAGAAGCACACACTCTGTGGAGCCCATAGCAAGGGACAGATACATTTGTACAGCACACCCTGAAAAGATAATGGTTTTTCGGGATGACAGCAAGTTCACCAGCAATGTAGGAATAGATGCAGATGTGTAACAAATATCCATGAAAGAGAGATTTCCAAGGAACAAGTACATAGGGGTTTGAAGCTGTGAATCCAGGATAGTGATTAAAATAAGAATGCTATTACCCAGGAGGGTAATCAGATACATTACAAGGCTGAAGATGAAGAGAACAATCTCTAACCCTGGGTATTGGGAAAATCCTTCCAGGAAAAAAAAGCTCCAAATGGTGAAATTTTCTCCTTGCATTTCCTTTCTTTCACCTGTAGTTATTCTAGTATAATTCTCTTCCTTTCATCTGAGGACATAAAGAAATTAATAAAGTATAATGTTTGTTTAGTTATGAAAGCACTCTCAAACTTATTTTCACTATTTCAAACACAGTGTTCACAAGAAGTCATAGAATAGCATATGTATTAATCAAGGGGGGAAGCAGGTTTGATCTACATAAAAGTTGATTTTTCCACAATAAAATTTAGAAAACAATGAATCTGAAAACAAGAATAAATTTAATATTTTAATTTCAGCTCACAATCCTATCCTTAGCACAGTAGGCTTTCAATAAAGATTTAAAAGTGATGAATGAGAAAAAATATAAATGGACATTGAATAAATTATTGAGTACAAGTTAGAAAAGTAAGCCAGATAAGTGAAGGAAAGAAAGCTCATAATGTACAATAAATGTACCAATAATGACCTTCCCTGGAATAAGAGAATGAATGTTAAAATAAATAAATTACTGGATTTTAAACCAACACCTACATAGTTCTGGGTCTAAACGAATTCTGTCCAGCTGAGAACTTAGGAGATCTGTATACTGTTTCAGAAAGGATGATGCTGCTTAATGCATTGTGATTATATCTAAGAGACAGTTTATAAATCACATTAAAATAACCCACCTCGGGCTGGGGTTGTGGCTCAGAGATAGAGCGCTCGCCTACCATGCGTGAGGCACTGGGTTCGATCCTCAGCACCACATAAAAATAAAATAAAGATATTGTATCCACCTATAACTAAAAAATCAATATTAAAAAAATAGCCCATCCATTTAAACACTAACATCCATATATAGTTTATTCATTATTGAATACCATATCCTCGTAATTGTGTAAAATCAATAATGCATTTCTTTCAAAATTATTGACTGCCACCATCACTAAAAATATCAAAGAAATTTTCTAGAAATTATACCCAGGTAATACCCTTATTATTCACCAAGACCCATGAATATCCAGCAAATGCAGAAAACATACTCCCTTAGAAAAATTAGCATTTCTTGGAAAATAGGATTTAAGCTCCCATATTTTAATTAAGACACTTCAGGGGTTTGTGGGGTTTTTTACATGTCATATTACAAACAAAAAATTATTAAAAACTTACCTTGCTTTGCACATATATTGCTTGTTATCAACATCATACTGTTTCCTTCTCTGCTGATTCTCTCCATTCTATTTTCAAATACATGTTCTTAAAAACAACCTCCATGGTCACAATAGCCAAGCCCACTGCCATCCTCTTTTTGCTTTTTCATAGATGAGTCAGTCCCTCAATCATATGGTTTATGTTACAATATTTCAGTCTTCACTTTATTACCGCTGGCATTCTCTCCTTATTTCTCAATTTCATTCTTCTCCCAGTTCTCCATGTTTAAAATGTTGGCATAAATACAAACGTTGTGACAGTCTTATTTTACTACTTCACTTAAAATACTGCTTTGATATACTTTATAAAGTTAGCTGTGTACAAGGAAGAATGAATGCATCCATGTTTAAAAATGTTATTGTGTAAAATCAATAAAATCAATGCATTTCTTTCAAAATTATTGACTACCACCATCACTAAAAATATCAAAGGGTAGCAACTGAAATACTACGTAAATTTAAATCATTTGTTGTTTTGGGGGAATACACGTTGTCCCTGAACAATTTAAAGTTCAGCAGCTGAGATTTGAAGCTTCAGATCCTTCAGGGATAATGTCCTAAAGATCCAATTATATAAAACTTTTAGAGAGTCAGACAAAAAGCAAACCACACTTCCACCTAAAAATGTGCAAGAACCTCCTAAAAAGCAGGTTTTCTGGGCTAGGGTTGTGGCTCAGAAGTAGAGCACTCGCCTAGCATGTGTGAGGCACTGGGTTTGATCCTCAGCACCACGTAAAGTAAAATAAAGACATTGTATCCACCCATAACTAAAAAATAAATATTAAAAAAGAGCAGGTTTTCTATTCTCCCTTTCCCCCAATCACTAGTTATATTAAGATTTTTTTTTAATGATTACAATATAGAATACCTAACTGAAATACAGGGGGAAATGTCTCTGCAATTCTAAGATATAAGATTTTCCATTTATGAAATTACTTCTTAGTTTTCAGAAATTAAAAATGTTTATTCTTTTAAGCTACAAATAAATCACTTAACGTCTTAACAAGTGATCAAAAATTTTATTCAAAAGACCCAACAATGTACTGCCTTCAAGAGACTCATCTTATAGGAAAAGACGTCCACAGACTGAAGCTGAAAGGTTGGGAAAATACATACCACTCACATGAAATGTGGAAACAAGCAGGGGTTCCCATCCTCATACCAGATAAAGTAGACTTCAAGCCAAAGTTAATCAAAAGGGATAAAGAAAGACATTTCATGCTGCTTAAGGGAACCATACATCAACAAAACATAACAATTATAAATATATATGCCCCAAACAATGGAACATCTACGTTCATCAAACTCTTCTCAAGTTCAAGAGTCAAATAGATCACGACAAAATAATTCTGGGTAACTTTAACACACCTCTTTCACCACTGGGTAGATCTTCCAAAAAAAGCTAAACAAAGAAACTATAGAACTCAATAATACAATCAGTAACTTAGACTTAACAGACATCCTTACATCCATCAATGAGTGAATACACTTTCTTCTCAGCAGCACATGGATCCTTCTCTAAAATAGACCATTTATGCCCTTCAATAGATGAATGGATAAAAAAAAAAATGTGGCATTTATACACAATGGAGTACTACTCAGCACTAAAAAATGACAAAATCATGGAATTTGCAGGGAAATGGATGGCACTAGAGCAGATTATGCTAAGTGAAGCTAGCCAATCCCTAAAAAACAAATGCCAAATGTCATCTTTGATAAAAGGAGAGCAACTAAGAACAGAGCAGGGAGGAAGAGCATGAGAAGAAGATCACCATTAAACAGGAATGAGACGGGGGAGGGAAAGGGAGAGAGAAGGGAAATTGCATGATAAAGGAAGGAGACCTTCAGGGTTATACAAAATTACATATAAGAGGAAGTGAGGGGAAAGGGGGAAAAAAACAAGAGAGAGAAATGAATTACAGTAGATGGGGTAAAGAGAGAAGATGGGAGGGGAGGGGGAATAGTAGAGGATAGGAAAGGCAGCAGAATACAACATGCACTAGTATGGCAGTATGTAAAAAAGTGGATGTGTAACTGATGTGAATCTGCAAAAAAATGTGAATCTGTAAAAATGGGAGTTCATAATCCGCATGAATCAAATGTATGAAATATGATGTCAAGAGCTTTGTAATGTTTTGAACAACTAATAATAAAAAAATTTTTTTTAAATAAATAAATAAAATAAAATAGACCATTTATTATTCCACGAAGCAACTCTTAGCAAATACATAAAAGTAGATATCCTACCCTGCATTCTATCAAATCATAATGGAATGAAATTAGAAATCAATGATGAAATAAAAAATAAAAGCTACTCCAACACCTGGAGACTAAATAGTACGATATTGAATGAACAATGGGTTGCAAAAGACATCAAAGAGGAGATTAAAAAATTCTTAGAGGTAAATGAAAACACTGATACAACATCAAAATCTCTAGGACACTATGAAGGCAGTATTAAGAGGAAAGTTCATTGCATAGAGTTCATTCCTCAAAAGAAGAAAAAGTCAACAAATAAATGACCTAACATTACATCTCAACACCCCAGAAAAAGAAGAACAAATCAACACCAAAAGAAGTAGAACACAGGAAATAATTAAAATCAGAAGTGAAACCAATTAAATTGACATAAAAGGAACAATTTTTTTAAAATGACAAAACAAAAAGTTGGTTCTTTGAAAAAATAAGTAAAATTGATAAACCCTTAGCTATGCTAACAAAGAGAGGGAGAACAAAAACTCAAATTACTAACATTCATGATGAAAAAGGAAATATCACAATGGACACTACAGAAATACAGAAGATAATTAGAAATTATTTTGAAAATCTGTACTCCAATAAAATAGAAAATACCAAAGGCATCAACAAATTTCTAGAGACATATGATTTGCCCAAACTGAATCAATATGATATACACAAGTTAAACAGATCAATTTCAAGCAATGAAATAGAAGATACCATCAGAAGCCTATCAATCAAGAAAAGCCCAGGACCGGATGGATACACAGCTGAGTTCTACAAGAACTTCAAAGAACTAATACTAATACTCCTCAAATTATTTCATGAAATAGAAAAAAGAGGGGACACTCCTAAACTCATTCTATGAAGCCAATATCACCCTGATTCCAAAACCAGACAAAGACACATCAAAGAAAGAAAACTTCAGAGCAATATCTCTAATGACCATAGATGTAAAAATTATCAATAAAATTCTGGCAAATCAAATTAAAAAACATATCTAAAAGATAGTGCACCACCATCAAGTGGGGTTCATCCCAGGGATGCAAGGTTGGTTCAACATACGGAAATCAATAAATGTAATTATCACATCAATAGACTTAAAGATAACAATCATATGATTATCTCAATAGATGCAGGAAAAAGCATTGACAGAATACAGCACCATTTCATGTTCAAAACACTAGAAAAATTAAACAGGAACATATCTCAACATTGTAAAAGCTATCTATGCTAAGCCCCAGGCCAATGTCATTTTAAACAGAGAAAAATTGAAAGCATTCCCTCTAAAAACTAGAACAAGACAGGGATGCCCTCTTTCACAACTTCTATTTAACATAGTCCTTGAAACTCCAGCCAGAGGAATTGGACAGATGAAAGAAATTAAAGGGATATAGATAGGAAAAGAAGGACTTAAACGATCACAATTTGCTGATGACATGATTCTCTACCTAGAGGATTCAAAAAATTCCACCAGAAAACTTCTAGAACTAATAAATTAAACCAGCAAAGTAGCAAGATATAAAATCAACACCCATAATTCAAAGGCATTTTGGTACATAAGTGACAAATTCTCTGAAAGATAAACTAGGAAAACTAACCCATTTACAATAGACTCAGGAAAAAATAAATAAATACTTGAGAACCAACCTAACAAAAGAAGTGAAAGACTTCTACAATGAAAACTATAGAACAATCAAGAAAGAAATTAGACCTTAGAAGATGGAAAGATCTCCCTTGTTCTTGGATAGGCAGAATTAATATTGTCAAAATGGCCCTAATACCAAAAGCACTATACAGATTTAATGCAATTCCAACCAAAATCCCAATGACATTCCTCATAGAAATAGAAAAAGCAATCATGAAATTCATTTGGAAAAATAAGAGACCCAGAATAGCCAAAGCAATCCTTAGCAAGAAGACTAAAGCAGGTGGCATCACTACACCAGAACTTAAACTATACTGCAGAGCTATAGTAACAAAAACAGCATGGTACTAACACCAAAACAGACTTATAGATCAATGGTATAGAATAGAGGGCACAGAGACAAACCCATATAAATACAATTATCTCGTATTAGACAAAGGCGCCAAAAACATATATTGGAGAAAAGATAGCCTCTTAAACAAATGGTGCTGGGAAAACTGGAAATCGCTATGCAGCAAAATAAAATTAAGCCCCTATCTCTCACCATATACAAAACTCAACTCAAAGTGGATCAAGGATCTGGGAATTAAACCAGAGACCCCGCACCTAATAGAAGAATAAGTAGGCCTTAATCTCCATCATGTCGGATTAGACCCCAACTTTCTTAATAAGATTCCTAAAGTGCAAGAAATAAAATCAAGAATCAATAAATGGGATGGATTCAAACCAAAAAGCTTCTTTTCAGCAACTGAAACAATCAGTGAGGTGAATAGAGAGCCTACTAATTGGGAACAAATTCTTACCACATACATGTCAGATAGAGCACTAATCTCTAGGATATATAAAGCACTCAAAAACCTTAACACCAAAAAATAAATAAATAAATAAATGAACTAATCAATAAATGGGCCAAGGAACTGAACAAACACTTCTCAGGATATACAATCAATTAACAAACATGAAAAAATGTTCAACATCTCTAGCAATTAAAGAAATGCAAATCAAAACTACTCTAAGATTTCATCTCACTCCAGTCAGAATGGCAGCTATTAAGAATACAAACAACAAAAAGTGTTGGTGAGGATGTGGGGGAAAAGGCACTCTCATACATTGCTGGTGGGACTGCAAATCGGTTAAGCCAATCTGGAAATCAGTATGAAGATTCCTTGGAAAACTTGAAATGGAACTACCATTTGACCCAGTTATCCCACTCAATTTATACCCACAGGACTTAAAAACAGCATACTACATTGATGCAGCCAGATCAATATTTATAGCAGCTCAATTCACATTAGCAAATTATGGAAACAACCTAGATGCCCATCAGTAGAATGGATAAAGAAAATGTGGTATAACTACACAATATTGCAAAAAATGGAATATTACTCAGCATTAAAAGAGAATAAAATCATGGCATTTGCAGGTAAATGGATGGAACTGGAGAATATAATGTTAAATGAAGTAACCCAATCCCAAAAACCCAAATGTGGAATGTTTTCTCTGATATGAGGATGCTGATCTATAATGGGGAGGTGGGGGAGAGCATGGGAGGAATGGAGGAACTTTAGATAGGGCAAAGGGGAGGGAGTGGAAGGGTGGGGACATGGAGGTAGGGAAAACGTTGGAATGAGATGTACATCATTACCCTAAGTAAATGTACGAAGAAATGCGTGGTGTGAAAATACTTTGTGTACAATGAGAAATGAAAATTGTGTTCTATATATGTA